AAAAATCACGCCGTATTGGCATACACCTTCCTAGCAATGCATTTCGAGACACAGCGGAGTATCGCGAATATAGTAGACCATTCTGGCAGAAAAGACTATGAAACATATTGCTTTTGAATTTATTTCAGAAATATCTCAACTTCGAGTATTATGCGAAGGCCTCTATCGAAGAGAAAGAATGGAAATACAACGAATAATCAACGTCTTTCACAATTCTTCCAGAAGAAAGTCAAAACTGATGAAATTATTGATCTAGACGACTAAATTTAGCTTGCACTCCTTGCTTCATGTTGAGCTTTATATGTATGTTTAGGTACTAACTTGTAAATATCAGTCGAAACTTTTGATCTTGCTTGCTGGTAAGTTGGATCTCTGAAGTCAGTGCATTACAATTAATTTGTTGAAGTCATACACATTAACAAATATGCCTTTTGCTCATTTATATGCTCCTCATCTGGATAATGCTTGTTATACGTTGTCATTCATCATATGCCTGCCACTCATTATCTATACTGTGATTTATAGCGGTTGCTTGTAAATATTAGTACAATTGTGTTTTCTGTTTCACATGGGTATCCCCGTAGTACTTCTTTCTTCCTTTTATTCGCCGTATCACTCCTTCTAATAGCTTTTGAAGAGAGTGAATGGGGTGAACGCAAGATATAGAGCTTGCCAATCTTAATGACAATCTTCTTAAAGAAGAAAAATTTTTGGTTTCTATGGTTAGTGTGACCCATAGTTTTCCGTCCTTCCTTGAAACCCATTTTCGTCAAGCCCGTACCCTGTTACATCTATGTGGAAAACTGCATAAGTTTTTGTCGTCGAAATTCCCTTTAATGTTGCAATAAAGTTTTTTTGGGCAAGTTTCGTCCTTTGCCTTACGTCATGCCTAGGGAGGAGTAAACTTTGTACATCCTTTAATTTGCAATCATATATAGTAGCTTACAAATGTAGGTTTAAGACGACCAAATAGTTTAGTGAGAAGACTGTGAGAAAATCATTCTTCCCCCCTATCACTGCACATTCTTCGAGAACGTGAAAATGTTCTTGCGAGTCTGTCCACGCTTATTTCGATCTTTCGTTTCTTCATTGCTTTGTTGTAATCAAAAGATGTGCTTCTGTCGAATTATTATCAAGTGGAAGCGTCAAGGACTATGTAAAGATTTTCAATCGTGAGCTTTAATATTTCAGGTTGCGAATAGAATTACGTAGATTTTGCAAATACACTAGATTTGTTTCTTCTAGGAGTTGTGGCGGCATGATCGATACCCATTGCCATCTGGTGGATAACAAATTCAAATCAGACATTGGTGAAGTTATAGACCGTGCGAAGGAGAATGGCGTCAAACATGCTGTTGTATGCACCGAGTATGCGAGTCAGTTCGATTCAGTATTGGATCTTCATACGAAGTATCCCGAATTTGTCATCCCTGCTATAGGAATCCATCCTATACAGGTAGATATCCATCAGCTCCTACGTAAGAATGTAGAGGAAAAATGTTTCTTTGCTTCTGTTACACATGCTACAACAGAAATACATCTTCACTTTCGCTTTTAGTCTTGCCTATTGCTATGAGGTTGTCCCATAAGTTGATTATGGCTTGTTCAACGAAAATCAACCCACACATGATGGGCGACGATGGCCTTTTCTAGGACGCGTCGCAGCCGCTTTGTAGAACGAGCTGACAGCTCGTTCGAAGGTTTTTGGATACGATCCAGACTTCTTTCCGCGATGATTTGGCCGCAATATCCTGGCATACAGACAAGTCCCTTGTTGGGCTCTTCACAAGAGAATCGCTGTGCGTTGTGGGAAGGTCCGTAGTCGAAACATGCGGGTCAACATTTGGACAGACTATAAATCAGGGCAAAATTCACAAATTTTCTTGGAGGTCGCAAAGAAAATCTTTTTTTTGCACCATAAGTATCTAGTACAGATCTTGGGACGTCGTATAGACGGATAATTTATTTAGATGATAAAAAAGCTGACAATGGCTTCCTATAAATTTCAATCAAAAACAAGCTAACCATTTAAAGATCTCGTCTTATAAATTCCGTCACTGGTGGTTACGAAGTGAGCACGAGTAAACTATTTTCAAGATCCTCAGGAGTACTTTCTAAAGAAAGATGGCTACTGTCATGCACACCTTTGAGCATATGGTTAAAGATCGTGAACGATTTGCTTCTAGACAAAAAGTTGATCAGGGAAATTGTAAGATGATTGCTAATATCAGCACAATATTAGATTGTGGATATAATGACATTTGCTGGAATAAAAATTCACAA